CGCCTCTCTGGATAAACCAGAGAGAATCCAAAGGTAAGAACAACTCATGATATTATGAAGAAAAGTTTAGCTTGATCTGTTGAATCCTATTTAGCAACATAGTTTTTTATTTTATAGAATTGTTTAAGGCTTTCTTGAAAGCTACAAAACGTATATTTACCAAAAAAACTAGAACCGCTTCTCTGAGGATAAGGTATTTACTGTTCTGTTATCTACTGAAGCTTCGCAAGGTATCTTCTTGGAATGAAAAAAAAAGAACTGGCCGGTTTGTGCAATTAGTTGAAACGTTGGATCCTGAGTCTCAATCCAAAGAAAATTTTTACAGCTGAGTTGCACAATATCCTGAGAAGTCTTTGTTTTTAATGGAAGCACTGACTAATCCTTAACTAAACAGTTGCAGGGGAAAGGCTGCTATAATTTGCTAATGTGTTTTGTTTCTTCTCATTTCTGTTTAAAGAACTAATAAGAAGTGATGGGTTGGTGAGGAAGGGAAGCTGGAAAAGAGAGAAGACTTATATTTGACTCTGACTTCATAAGAGCATTCAATACAAGTCAATCCATGTGAAACATGGCAAGCCCAAGAAAAATAAACTTTATTGTCAGAGCAAAGTTTGTTTTTGGGTTGGTTTTTTTTAACTACCCTGTAGCCACTAAGCTTCTTAACTGGGAGAAAATACCTAGTTCACATGCAGACTTTCACCAGACATATGAGGCCAAAGAAGTATCCTACTAAAATGGTGTCTCTTTCTGGCCCATTTGGCCTCATACAACCAAAGAAAGAAAATTGAGGCTTTGTGATATCTCGAAGCATCAGGCAAGGTACAAATATTTTGGAAGTGGATATTGGCCAGCATGAACTGTTAGGGCTTGTAACAAAGAATGACATGAACAATACTTGAACACTGAAAAAATGGTGCCTATAATACACTTCCAACAACAAGTCTTACGCAGAGCAGCACGAAAAAAGAAAGACAAACCAAAGGTCATATTCCCTGAATGCACGTATTGTCAACCGCAAGGGTTCAACACTGCGTTGGATGGGAAGGAAAAGAAGGGATGCAAGATAACAGAAGTGATAAGCACTCTGCTGATTTTTCATTGTGGAAGAAGGTCACTTGCAGGCAATGCAGCAAAGTCAGCTTCAGTATCCTCGGGGGGAAACGTGAACACTGCGCCCCTGTTAAGGAGGTACAGTGAATACAAGTATGGAACGAAGGTTTATAAATAACGGAACAGGGAGCTCACGCAAATAAAAGATGGGCCATACTTTACGTCCTCCTGTGCTGCACCAAGTCCTACTATTCTGCCAGATGAAGCGTCTCATTATTAGAAGCTGACAAGATTGCAGAGAAGACGAGTAACGAAGAAAGGCACGGAGAAAACGGCACAAATGACAAAATCCTGCTAAGTCCTACAACCCCTCACTTGAACCAAGTGTCTGCTGCAGTAAAATATCCAGGATAAAATGCTGGATCTGTTGAAATCAATGAGATTTTTGCTCTTAACTTCACCACAAGTACACACAGTCATGTCTGCTGTTTGAAAAGGTGCTGGCGTGGTACAAGAGCAACACACTCGCTTCTCTTTCTACCATATAACTGATGGGTCTGGTTTGGATTGCAGCCCAGGCTCCACCTTCTCCTGGTAGCTATTCTACACGACTCCCAGACACCCACTGGTTCCCGTGCTCTGTCTCTGCGCGCCTAATTGCATTCAAACTAATATCATCATAAATGTGAGTACATAGAAGTCGGAGTCAAAGATAAATAAAATACACCATATTTCTCACCAAAACCACAAGGTCATTTGGTATAGTTTGGTCTCTGGTGGGTTTTTCCAACCAAGTCCTGCGTCAATGAATGCCCCCCTTATATCTATGCTATATATTCAATTATTTTGACATTCAAATATTACACTATTTTGTAAAAACAGATGAACAGGTATTTCCCAATGAAGATTATCATATTTTCTCATATGCAGCACACAACTTTTCCCCTCCAAGAATGGCTGCTGGAAATGGGAGTGCGCATTATACATGAGTAAATACAGCAACAGTTGTTTCTGCTGCTGAAGCTCCAGCCTGGCAGAAATGAAAGTCAAGTCTGCATGAGATCCACAGGAAGTAGAGCAATGAGGAGGCGCCGCTCCCTCGCTGCTCGGGCTTAGGTACGATAATCTACAAGGAATGATCTTTTTTCCTTCATTCTACCTTTCAAAAACTAGATGTGTAACTTACTCCAGGGCCTGGTTTAGGTGAGAAAATACAGTATGTCCAATACAGGTACTCCTCACTTAACGTCGTCCCGGTTAACGTTGTTTCGTTATTACGCTGCAGATCTATTAGAGAACATACTCGTTTAAAATCGCGCCATGTTTGGTTGTAACGTTGTTTGGCTGCCACCTGCTAGTAGGTAACTACTGTGACGTAACTGGATTCACTTAACATCGTTTTACCTAAAGTCGCGTTTTTCAAGAACGTAACGACGCCGTTAAGCGAGGAGGAGCTGTATTCCACTCTATTCGATGTATTAATGGTAAAAGTTGTACGTCTTGCATTTTAACCTTACTTCACTGAAAGCATATTTTTAGGTTTGACACTTTATTTTTAAAGCTTTATTGATAAATTTCAGGAAGAAAATAGGCCTGTTCCGAGCAATCTGGGAAGAAGAATTCGAAAAAGAAAAAAGAGAGAGGGGCATTGAGAACTCAGAATCACATCACATCTTCATAGAAAAGAAGAGGTTTCAAACCACAAGATCAGCTGCTAAAATGATTCACTTGTTGTATAACTTATGCTGTCTACTGGGAAACAGCTTCGTACTTTCAAAAGCCTTTGGAAAAATCCTTTCCAGGTGGCAACGCTCCCCAAAAGGATCACTGAGAGCCTGATCCAAAGCTCAGCACAGTTCATGGGAGGATTTCCACTCTGTCACTGGGGCTGGAGACCAGACTCCTAAGGTTGGTAAAAGGGCAAATATCAAATCCTCAAGAGCAGGGTCAAGCAAAGCAGCTTCTAAAATGTTGTAACCAAGCCTTTGCCATCTGTACGATTCCCTGTGCCCCGTCCAAAACTCCTGATGTCTTTCACTTGCTACAAACCAGTAAATAAGCCCTTCCGCACTTCGTCCTCCACACACTTCTCAACAGGCCCTGGCTTCCACCCTCATAGATAATCATGGATATTGTTATCTCAGTGACTTCCAGTAGGTATCAGATTGCTATTATCCTTCTGAGTACGTCAGCGGACTCAGTGGCTACAGCCGCCCAGTTTTGGTGTCACAGCCACTGTTGATGGTGTGCCACCTGATGCTGCTGTGTAAGGATGGTCGGGGAAGTACAGAAACTGCAGAGGAGGGAGCCGGGGCCAACAGCAGGATCCTGCAGAGAGGATGAAGGAAAACCCAGGGTGGATGTATCGGAGACCTGGAGGAAGGGAACCTCAGACTCCATGGTGAACACCAGGGCTGCAATGTTAGTCAGCCTCAGCTCCCGCATCCGCTGTGCTTCCCCGTGGACCCCCATCCCTTCCCCTGGGCCAGCTCGAACTCTGAGTTTCATGGTTTCACAGATGTCAGGGGCTGGAAGGGACCTTACAGATCGCCAGGTCCAGCCCCCATACACTTGGGCAGGAAAGACTGCTGGGATCAGATGACCCCAGCAAGACGGGTGTCAAAACATGTTTTGAAGATCGCCAGGGTGGGTGGCTGTACCATTCTGGGGGGAGCCTGTTCCAAACCCTCAGCACTAGACTTGTAAAGAAGATTTTCCTTATGTCTAGCCTGAAGCGATCCTCAATCAGTTTGTGCCCATTATTTCTTGTCCTCCCCAAGGGGCCTTGGTGAGCAGATGCTCCCCAAGGCCTTGATGTGCGCCCTTGATATACATATAGGCTGCCACCCAGTCCCCTCTGGGTCTTCTCTTCTCCAGGCTGAGGAGGCCCCAATCTTCATCCTCTCCTCGTATGACCTGGTCTCTAGGCCTCTGATCATGCGCATGGCCCTCCTTTGGACCCCCTCGAGCTTCTCCACATCCCTCCTGAAGTGCGGCACCCAGAACTGGATGCAGTACTCCAGCTGGTAGTCCACCAAGGTCGAGCAGAGAGGGAGGATGACATCCTTAGCCTTGCTCGAGATGCCTCAGTAGATGCATGCCAGGTTTGATTAGCTCTGCCAGCTACAGCTGTGGTTCTCAACCTTTTTTATACTGTGGACCGGCACGAGAGTGAGGCAGGGCACACGGAGCCGGCTGCCTCCCTCCCGGGGCTGCCCCGCCGCCCAGCTTTAACCCTGCACGTGACTGCTGGTGGCGGAAGCCGCTCACCCGGGCGGACAGATGGGGGTCCGAGCAGGGGGCTTGTGCCACAACCTGGCAGCCAACCCTTTGTGGCCCGGTACCGGACCACAGCCTGGTGGTTGGGAACCTCCGAGCTACAGCATCGCATTGGTGAGGCATTAGATCAACTGTAATCTCCAAATCTCCCCCAACTGTCATCTCCAAAAGCGCGTTGCTGTTTCCATGGCAGCATGGCTGGCATTAAGTATCACCAGTCATGTCAAAATAACCACGCCTGATGACACAGATCATGCTCAAACGACTAACGCTCTACGGCTCTGGTGACAGCCTGTCCGTGACCAGACTGGGGCTCAGGATGTCCCAGGATCGAAACCAACCTGCCCCGACTGTCTCATGGCTCTGAGCAAAACACTTGAGCTGCCTTTCTCAGTTTCCCCATCTCTATCATTCTACTAAAAAGCTTTATTAGGAGAGATAGGAGGATTCATTAGTTATGGTTTGTAAAGATGAAAAACACTGAGTGCCAAATATCACAAGTCAGCTTTTCCACTGGCTGACTTGGAAAGCACCAGAATATTAAGCTCTTCGTTTGCATTAGTTTTTCTAACCCATAGGCTGAAGACCAACCAGACTCGTCATACTGTAGACGAAGGTGCACGACTGCACACAAGCTCCGCAGCACGCTGAGATGCTGCGGCTGATCTCACCTTCCCAGGAGCACACATTGTCCCATCCAGCGGCGGTCCCTTCTTCGTCTTGCAGAAGTAGGGGTTATCGGGATGGCTGCACCACAGCTGCTTGCAGGGATCGAACGTACGGAACTAGAGCACAGGGAAGTCAGAGCACGTGATACAAAATACCATTAGAAACAGGCTCTCCTGGATTATATTCTTCCCACTCTACAATGGCTAGATGGTGTCTCTAAGTTTAAGGACTATTTAAAGTCCATGGGGAGCTGCACAGGCGTGGAGCTTTTACACAACAACATCGTTAACTGTGATGGTGAAAGAAGGTGCAATGGAGTCCTGCCAGAGATGGAAAGTTGGCTTCATCTGAATGGTACAGGGCAGAAATGGCAGAGGCATTTACCCATCCCATCTACCAAAACATGCACACCCTCGTCTCAGTTACTCCTGCTGCTGCTGCTTCATGGCGCGGACGCTACTTAAAATATTCACTGAGCTGGAAAAGGGGTCCATAGCCCAGTCATTGTGTCACTCACGTGGGAGGCAGCAGATCTGTGTTCCAGGCCCTGATCCAATGAACATTTAAATATTTTCTACAAAGTGGAACAGAGTCAAGGAGACACTGAGAAGGCCCTAAATGCCCTCTTGCCTTAGTGTTCCTGGAAGGCAGGAGCTCTAGTGTCTGCTGCGAACCAGGGGATTTACACCCACATCTCCTGCATCCCAAATAAGTGCCCCTCCCAGTGAGCTATTGGGCCTGCTGCCTGAGGACAACGTGCTTTGTTTTGGTTAAAAGATGCCTGAAATACAATGAAATAAAACATTTTAATTTCAGCCAGGGTTAAAACAAGGGAAAAGAGAAAACATTGCATGTTGGTTTGATCCAAACACAAACGTCCATTTTTCACACAGTCGTTTTTGCCAGACCAGACTCAGCGGGACCACGTGCATACGCAGCATTACAGCTGAGTCTTACCAGAGTCTCCTGTTCGTTCCTTGGAGACACGGCTCCTCGCGCCTGTGTCTGCAGATGGGGTTTGAACCAGGACTCTTCCGTGCTAGCAGCTGCTGCACCAACTCAACGCTTCTCTGTGCAGTGCTGTCATTTCTGTCCCACTTTCAGGAGCCAGAAGTAGATGGCAAAGCCCTACCAGATGTCTGAAATGATCATCTCCCCCCCTGAGCCAACCCAGGCATGAACTTACCTGCCATTACATATATGCTTTACATTTGGCTACTATATTCCTGGTAACAGAGACGCAGTTGCCGGTGAATACCTGCACAAGCTTTCCTGTCCACCTAGAGCCCCCTTGCCCCCATTATGAATGATGATGCACCCTCATTTCCGAAAAGAAATTCATATGAAGACAAAGCGTCTTGCCATATAGGAGCAGCAAATGTGAACATTAAGCAAGCAAGGGAAGAAAACAACGGCCATTTCTCGCGGGCGTAGGTGGGAGATGTGTGGAGTTATGCCAAGGGGCCAGCGATGGTCCTGGCAGGCTTTGGTTCTGAAATATGGAACTACTTATGAAACTAGGGTGTGATATATTTGTCAGAGCTCTGACTTTTAAAGAGTCCCAACAATGTTAAAAAGGAATTTCCCTGTCAAGAAGTTCATCTGTTATCCCTGGCTTGCAGCGAGCTGGATGCAATGTCTCTCCTTGAACATTTCACCCTATTGTCTTTTCTAAAGCCATCTCAGGGACAGCTGCAACACTCCTGGATGAGGGGCAGGGGAACTCAACTGAATACTCACAGCTGTGCACATCATGTAGCCCAACCCAAAATCAAACCGGCACTGCTCATTCATGGAGTAGTGAATTCCTGGCAGCTGGGGCAGGGACGGCCAGTCGTGTTCAAAGGGGTCATCACGCAGACAATCATAAGAGCTGCAAAAGGCAAGAATTAGAGTCACAGATGGGAATGGGAGACTTCAACAGTCATCGTGGTTTCCTTGTGGTTTGGGTCCAACCAAAATACGGAGTGCAGTTTTCCGACTGGCTCACAGAGCAGTCAGGACTTTAATAAGGCCTGTGTGGTTCCTACCAGGCTGTGTAAGAATTGAACATGGGGCAGAGACCTCTAGCTTTCTCCTGCAATTGCGATTTGGCTTGCAGGTAAATGACTAACTCCTCAAGGTCTGGATGGGAAAGCAACAGAGGAAAATTCTTCCCAAATGTGCCTGAGAAAAAAAGAAAAGGTTTAATTACATTTTCCCTTTGCAAAATTTCTTCCTGTCTGTTGTCTTTCAAGTGCAGCTTTAGATGCAGAAGGCAGCGTAGCTATCCAAGAATACTGCTGAGTGCCACCATACAGTCCTGTGCCGTACTCCTGGAGAAGCAAGTCCCCACACGAGCAAGTGTACCTTTTGGTCTGTGCTTTATTAAATGGCAGGGGCTGCCCTGCCTTCGTCGTTATTCTGACAGTTTTGTCCCCCGCTTCCAAGAGTCTCACAGGCTTTCCTTTCTCTGTGCAGGGGACAAGGGATTCTTCTGCTATCTTAAGCAATGTCTGTTTCTGCCAATGCACTTGAAATATGTCTGGATAAAAAATCTAGTGCACGGAGGATCCTGATGGCATCATTAATAGATGAGTACGGTATAATTGCGAGTTAAATTCAAAGTTACTATCCCAAGTGTCATATGGCAGACAGGCTCTCTGCTACACATCAGTGAATTAACATATCTAGAATATCACAAAAATAGCTCAGGTGTCCTCATTAAATTTAACCATCGACCTATCTGTTAAGCTCATTTCTTTGCTCTGATGGTCACACTTGCGTTTGCCTGCCATTATTCATCGCATCCGCACAACCCTTCATTATGAAAACTGCCAGTCAGAAGTCCATCTCAGATCCGAGTCTGTGTGTTTGCTGCAGGAGCAAGGCAAACTGCTCTGCATCTGGCAATTATTCAAGTTGCCCTAATGATCCCCGGGGATTAGGGACAGAGTTATGCATCTAGATCCACTTTTGAACAAAACAATGCTCCTGTTTTAGCTGGGAGCTGTTTTTATTAATAGAAACACTTTACTATACCTGCATTTTTTTTTTTTTTAAATCAGGGCTCTCAGCCAGATGGCTATTATTTATTATGAAGCTTAAAGAGACACTATTAATTGAGACATCACACTTCTCCTTGATCATTTTTTAGGTACTGTTGTCAAAAGAAACACCTAAGATATTATCACTTCAAAACAATTGAGAAAAATCAAGACTGGTTTCTTTGCATTCGTTTATCCTTGTCTAGTCGTTCTCCCACCTATATGGCCAAGTAGTAGGTTTTCCTGCGTTGTTTGCTGGCATCTTTTATGCAGCAACAAGTCATATATGTACAGATATATTCATGTAGGAAAAACATGATTAAATATCATGAGCACTGGCAAGGGATGTGGAAGGAGTGGTTCACGTACAAAGGAAAGAAAAAAATACAGAGGAGCTGTTAAGAAGACGGGAAATGAGCTAGCTTTTGTGCCGACAGGGTATTTAAGAGCAAGGAACCACAAAAAGTAGACCTGAGGGCCATCGTCTTCCTTTTGATGCCCATTCAAGCACCGGGTGCCCTGTGCACACACCCAATGGCAGAACTTTCCCCTTAAAGCACTACAGTAAAATGCAATTGGCTTGGTACAACTTTGGTGGTAGGAAACACCTCTGCTGCTACCAACCAGTGGTGCCACCAATCCTTCAGTTATTTTTCACACTGATGAGTGGCGCTCAAACAAATAAGACGGGTTTTATGTCCAGGTGGGAGGAAAGCGAGTTGCTAATGAGAGTAATAATAATATTTACAGGTCTGGGAGGAGAGCCACACAATATCACCCTTCTGCAATGGCAAGGACGTGGAACAAAGCAGCAGTCAATGTGAGCGTTAATTGCCTGCAATTCCTGGGAAGGTGTCTCACACTTACCAGGTTGGGGGGGCTTTCTTTTTGGTTTGATTTTGGGTAATCCAGGTTAGTATTAAAAGTCCAATATACAAGCATTGCATTCAGAGATGCTGAAAATGCTTCCTAACCAAAGAGGAGAGTCAGGTTAACAGCTACTCACTGCAGATAGCGGTTTAGCTCTTGTTGGCTACAGCGAGACCAGTGGAAGCGATGGAACGCAGCCTGCACGAGGGGGGCCATGATGCTCCCCAGCCGGACTTCATCCCCGCACCTGTTCCCCTGGCCGTCATGCTCCATGCCTAATCTGGAACAGAAGAGGGGAGAAGCGGCAGATTCTCATCAAGGGTGAAAACTTAGGTGGCTCAGGTCCCTAAGTCCCACTGAAAGTCAAGGAGACTTCATGCTCCTGAATCACTTGGGGCATGTCCACATGGAGAAGCTGTTGGAAAATAAACCAGAGTATGACTTGAAAGTGAAAAACTATTGTGCAGTAGTTCCCATGTGGACTCTCAGACCTTTGTGAGGACAAAGAAAACCCACATGGAGAACTAGTGCAGAACAGCTACTGAGCTGTAGCAAATCCAGATTCCAGGCTACTTCTCAGTTAGACAAATCTTTAGGTTCTTTTAAAAATGTTACCCCAAGTGACAGAGAGCAGCTTTTTCTTACCCTTTTCTTTATTAAAAGTACTTTCCCCTTGGCGCTTTATTAGGATTTCTGCTGCATTCTTCTCTGGCCAATGTTTGACTAGTATCAGAGGCTCCTTTCAGGTAACACATGGTTGGTCACCAACACTATAGTAGCGTGTTGTGACTCTACGTGTTTTCAAAAGCTAAGAGGCATTTTAGAGATATACCGTCTAATCTGATCATAGGTTTCTTTTAACCGTAGCTCCAAAAGTGCTGAAAACAAAAGTTAGCAACCCAAGGAACAAATTTCATGCAAGCACCAATTTTGTGTCCCCCTGATTAATACGCATGAATAATAAGATTCAATGATTCAGGCAAAAGCTCTTAATGTAAAGCACAGTAAAGCCTTCAATAATTCTTGAAACAAGAAACAGAAAAAAGTGCCTGCTGGCTTTCATAGGGAAAAGGTATAACAGAGTGAATCTGTTCAGTGAAGGGATTTATAGGATTTGTTACTCTATCGAGGCGGTGAAGGCAAGTAAATGAGTGTGCTTTACTAATAAATAAACCAGTTACTTTAAAATTACAGATCCACCAGCTCCTTGAATGCTCCAAGTTTACCATGGAAACAATTCATGTCATATCCTTGATATAAAATATATGGAATGAATGTAGCTTCAGGTCTTGGCCTACCTTACTGCATAGTAACTTGCCATGTGGCTTGTATGCAACATTACAGTGTATTACTAGATGACCCTGAATTTAAGACGACCCCCAAATAATTATATACATGGAAAATTTACACATGAATTATAATTTTCCATGTATGGAATCTAATTATTGGAGGATTAAATTCATCCCTCCCTCACTACTGCAGGTGGTGGGGGGAGAGGTGAGGAGGAGGCCAGTAACAGGGCAGGCAGTGAGGGGACAGACAGTGCAAGAGGCAGTAGGGGGGACATGGTAGGGCAGGTGGTGGGGGCAGGCAGTAGTGGGCAGGCAGTGTGGAGGTGGTGGGGCAGGCAGTGAGAGACAGGCAGCTTGCCCTCTTTCACCTGCCCTCCCTATTTATCCCCTCCTCCCCCCGATCAGGTCCCAGATCCCCCTTCCCCTGTCCCCACCTATTCCTTGCTCCATGCCACTTATGCCCTCCTGCAGCCTCCAGTCCCGGTGCCCCCTTCCCCCTGTCCCTCCCACACCCCTCAACCTCCCCCTTATCTTTGCTACATGCGGGCAGGCTCTGACCCTGCTGCAGCCCAAGGCACTGAGCATGGCTCCAGCCCATGCCGTAGCAGAGGAGCAGAGCCGGCACTGCTGCTACAGGGCCAGACTGTGGTGAGGACAGAGCCTGCAGGCATGAAGCAAAGGTAAGGAAGAGTGTGGCAGAGGGGGAGAGAAGGGGAGAGGTGGTGTCAGGGGAAGCGGGGAGCAGACTAGAGACAGTGGGGGCTTGAGACTGTGCAGGAGGCTGAAGGGGTACAGAGGCAGCAGTGGCCTGTCCTCTGCCACCTTGTACTTGATTGTAAGGAGAGGGGCTTCTTCCCCCATGTTAGATGGGCAGAATAACTCGTTGTCTAATCAATTCAATATGGTCAACGTGTGCAAGTTACTAAAGATGGTTTTCATGAATCTTGACTTGTAACGAATCAAGGATTTCACATTCCCTAATAGTAAAAATACTCTGCATTTCTCCTAGGCGACTACAATGCATTGATCAGCTTCATCTCATATTATTCCTGGGAAGCAGCATCACTTCCCTGTGACAGCTAAATGGTCCCTGACCCAGAACACTTCAGTGGCTGGCCAGAGATCACAAGGGAAGTCGTTGCAAGAACCAGGACTGGAATCAAGGTCTAATGCTTTACACTTGCCTCTGAGCCACAGGACCACATCTTCCCAACCCCCAAAATATTTCCCAGAATCAAAGCCATGAATGGATAAGACCTGTTAAAGCACCACTTACACATGTCCGGTTTCATGGGCCACCACAAAGGCAGAGGAAAAACCGTCTTCATGGTTGAGGGTGCAGCTTCGTACGGGATGACACATTCCAGTAACTGGAGCGTAACCTAGGACACAGCGCGTAGTTCAGGAGGTAAGGGAAGACAAGCAAGAGTGTGTGCCTGCAAAGCCTCAATACGGCGCCCGTCCGTCATGGCATCTCACATGGAAGAAGAATTTCCTAAAGTGCCACCGGCGTCAGGGCTCCAGACCGGGGCGCGTACGCCGAGCGAACACTTTAATCAACGTGTTCCAGCCCCGCAACATTCATTCTAACCAGCCATATCCTAGCCGTTAGTTAAGCACCAAATGACTATTAAGGGCCAAATTCTGTCCCGACTTACACAGCAAGCAAACCTTTGCCCTTAATACCTAATCCTCAAAGCATTCCTGTGGTGATGGTCAGTAAGTGTTGTCAACTCCACTTTTTCATATGGAGCAGCAGGCTCAGGGCCTGAATGACTTTTTCAAGGTCCCATAATGAGTCTGCGGGCCAGCTGGCATTGTGAGCCAGACATTTCCGGGCCCTCTTCCTATGGCGAGATGCGAATGATTCTCTGGCATTTCCACTTGCTCTCAAATAATGTAAGCAACCCTTTTTCTTTCAGGAAGGCAGGCTATTCAATCATGAGATGCGTTAAGACAGTAACTGGATTTCAGATTCAACTCTAGGCACAAATGTTTTTGCAGTACAACTTGTTCAACACTGAACTACCTGGTAGATAACCATCCATGTGCCTATAAAAGACAATGCCACACTGGGAACGGTGCTGGTGAACAGGGCAGCCGTATTTGAAGAATGCACAGAAACCAGACTCAGTGCCAATCAAGTATTATCACACACACAGGAAAGCATATTAGTCTCACAGATCATCCATACAATTAAAGTGCTTCTTTTAAAGGTAACAAGAGATCTCGACTCTGAACTTTTAATTAATGTGCTCCCTCAGCTATGAAATATGGGAAGACAGCCTGTTGAACAAATTACATTCTTGTCATGGTTCACGAAGAATGCAGTGCAATCTCCTTCTGGGCCGTTCTGCATCTGATCTCATACAGACAGGTAAGGGGAAAGGTAGGGAGGGAATAAGGGCTCTGCCTAGTCTTGTGTCAGTGCACAGGGGCACAAGGAAATATCAGTGGTTAGGGAGTAAAAAGAGAGTGGCACTAACCAATTTAGAGGGAGAGGGCAGGAACTGTAACATCTGATCAGAGCTGTTCTCACATGGGCTCAGATCATACCCAGTACCCTGCAAAAAGGTAAAAATGAGCTACTCTTGGTGATGTTGTTTCTGATCCTT